CCACCGTCTTGAGTGTCTGTTGAACGATGATTGTGTAGTCCATGTCGTCGTCCTCGTCCCGGGCGATGTCCAGTCCGTATACCCGTGTCCAGTGTGCAAGACGCGCCACGCTGCATCTCTCGAGCGCTGCAGCAAGTGCGGCGAAATGCTGCCGGACGCATCGGCCAAGCTCACGCTCTTGCTCAAGCGCGCCGAGGTGGCCAATGCCAAGGGCTTCTCGGTCGACCTCTCAATCGAATGCGACATTTGCGAGACGACCAACACGATGACGGCGGCGACGTGCGCCGACTCCTATTGCGGCAGGAAGCTTCCGAACGACGCGGAGAAGCTGCGCATCCTCGTGCGTCGCTTCGACCTCGCGATCAGCGCCGCGTAAGCTGCACCCGAGGGGTCTTTCTTGGCTCCATCCTGAGGACTCTTTTCCATTTCCATCTCTTCCAAATACATTTTTGCCATTTTGAAGTTTTCATTTTGAAGTTTTCGACATTAAAAGTCTCGATGCGTCGACGAAGAAATCTGTTCGTCTAACTGTACATGAGGAATGGCCGCCGGCGTCGAGCTCAAGTAGACGCAATCACGAGGCTGCTGTTGCCTGACCCTGCTGAACGCTACTCTTCTCGACGTCAAACGAGAGGTGTGTAAGTGCTGGCGCCTGATGGGGCTGGTAGCGCACTTGGACGTTTTCAAACGTCACGCGACCGCGCTTGTCGGTCTCGAGAATACGAGGCAAGAGGTCGCTTGTCAGCGGCGCTTCCATCGAGAGGGTGTCACAACTCTCAAACCGCTGCAGCGAAGCATGGGAGGCTTGGACTTGGGCCAGAACGCGCCGTGCCCAGTAAAGTACCAGCGGTGCAAAGGTCGAAGCATGATCGATAGTCCAAATCCGATCTAATGCTACAGGGACAGGATGGAAGAGTTTAAAGTACAAAACAACTCCAAGGAGAGAGAACTCTCTCGGCAACTCGTCTTTGGTGATCCGACGCGCTCTGTGCGGAGTGTGCATAACACTCTTTGGTCGTGCACATCGAGCTTACACCGCGCTGGTCGCGAGGTCGAAGCGACGGGAGAGGATGCGCAGCTTCTCCGCGTCGTCCAGAAGCTCCTCGCCACACTCGGGATCGGCGCACGTCGCCGCCGTCATCAAGTTGGTCATTTCGCAAATGTCGCAGTCGATGCAAAGGTTGATCGAGAAGCCCTTGGCGTTGGCCACCTTGGCGCGCTTGAGCAAGAGCGTGAGCTTGGCCGACACGTCCGGCATGGCCTCGTTGCAGCTGCTGCAGTGTTTGTTCAAAGCTGCGTTGCGCGTCTTGCATGCTGGGCACGACTGGTGAGAGCCCCCGACGACCAGGACGACGACGTCGACTAGATCCAAAGGGTAACCAGACGAGCACTCTCAATACACAATGGATGCATCGTACCGAGGTGGACGAGCTGCTGCTCATGCCCTTCGTCAGTTGCGGCAGCGTTACCAGACGCTATCCGCAAGAGCCTTTTCCTGCAGCAACAACGATCGATGATCGTCTGCGCCATCGGACGCTGCTTGGGATCAAACGACAAGCAGTCGTCGACCAGCGCCTTGTACCACGGCGCACACTTGGAGCTCACGCTCGCCGCTGCGGACGCCGTCGACGATCGCAAAGAGGTTCATGCCAGCATACGGCACCTGGAGTGTCTCGAGCTCGGTCAAAATGACGCCAAACGAGTAAATGTCGGCCGCGTAGCCGTACGTGGTTCCCGAAGCAAAGACTTCGGGTGCGTCGTCATGTCGAGGTTGAACTCCTTTGTAAGGCCAAAGTCGGCCACCTTGATGTAGTTGGACGAGCTCAAAAGCACGTTGAGGCTCTTGAGGTCGCGGTGCATAAAGCCATTTCGGTGGAGGTCGGCCAAAGCGTTGGCAATGACCCATGCAATATCGACCGTCGAGTAGTCGAACAGAACGGGGTCGTCCTTGCGCTTCTTGTCGAGGTACTGGCGGAGGTTGCCACCGTCCATGTACTCGAGCACGAGCTTGGGGTTGTCACTGTGCTGGCAACGTATCCATGTCGGTTGCTTTCGAGTAGACGACAAGAGCGGCAGCCAGCGCACTCAGCGTCGCGCCGAGCCACTCGACCCGGACCGCGAGCCAGTGGTTGGTCGCCGTCGCCACCACGTGCACGCGCTGATGTGCGTCGAGGAGCGCGTAGTAGCTGGCGCTGCAGTGGCTCTCGATGCGGTAGGCGTGGAGCGACCGCAGACCGAGAAGACACTCGCGCACGTACGCCGTCATGGCCTCGCGTGTCGCAGCTTCGAGTCGCTGGAGACCGTTGGCCGAGGGTACATATACTCGCTGCAGTGCATAGAGCGACGCCATTGCTGGAAGCACAGCCAGTGCGAACCACGGCGCCACGAGCACCACCAGACAGCGTCCGTTAGCATCGGTAGCAGTGGCGTTGGGTCGGGCGATACGAAATCTTGTCCCGTTGGCGCGGCTTCAAATCGCGTTGCTGCATCATCCAGTAGCGAGTGCGACTGCAACAGGTCGTGGATCGGTCCGTCGTCACAGAGCACGGTCGTGGTCGAGTGATATATGCCACTTCACAATCGTGTGCAATCGTTTGTAACAATCGTGTGCAATCGTTTGTAAACAGTATAAAACAGTATAAAACATCTGTGTGCGAAGGGCGTCACACTTGCTTTTTGTATCCACGTACTTTTCAAGTTTCGAGAGACTGACTATTAATAGGAGTCACCTCACTTGCTCTTTCGACCGACGACCATGACGAGCTTGGTACGACGACGTCGACGGCGCTGGATGTGGCGATCAATTTGTGGTGTAGGGCGTTGATCTGTATAATGCTGCGTTCGACGGTCGCATCGACGACGTCCAGCGCCTGCTCAAGAATGGCGCTGACGTTAACTGGACCGATGAGGTGCGTTGGCCACGCTCGATGGCAACAAGACATGTCCAATTGTATAGAATGGAGCGACGCCGCTCTATATTGCTGCACAAGAAGGACACGACATCGTCGTCAAGACGCTCATCCGCGCCAACGCAGCTGTGAATCAAGCTGAAAACGTACGGCGATCTCTCCTTTTGCTCGTTGCACTCTCAACCATTTGGCCTCACATGTTGATGATGATGCAGGATGGAGCGACGCCGCTGTTTATTGCTGCTTATCAAGGCCATGACATTGTCGTCAAGACACTCCTCGGCGCCAACGCAGCTGTGAATCAAGCTGAAAACGTACGGCGATCTCTCC